TTTTTTTTTTTTTTTTTTTTTTTTTTTTTTTTTTTTTTTTTTTTTTTTTTTTTTTTCATTTCATTCGATGAACTATTTTAAGAGTAACAGAGGGGAGAGGAGAATTTTCGTACTCTTGAAAAATCACATTACGCGCGAGAGGGAGGCGCATAAAATAATACGTCTACAGCGCCGAGAGAGAAAAGGGGGAAAAATTTTACTGGCGCTCACAAGTTTATGTTCCCAGGCTGTAAAAGCTCGAGCGATGCGCGTCTACGAGAATATTACGGAAACAATCAGATTGTAAAGTTCGCTGCGCCACGCAATCCCTCACGCTAAATCTCCCTCTTTCTCTTGCAAAGCAAAGCAGAGTGGAATTACATTTTCAAGTCAAAAACATGACAACAAGCACAGTCGAGAATGACGTCCAACTCACTTCTACTCCAATAAATATCTGGAGCCTCTTGGAAAGGTCTATTTTTTTCCTGTACCACAACGTACATACTTTAAGTACGTACCCTTAAATACATTTCCTTTTTTTTCCACCTCAATCAAATAAAAGTTACTTTGACAGCACGTACGTGCGGGATGTTTTTTTTTTTATCAATTCAGATCTACATATGGTTGTACGAAAAACGATAAATCCCTGCAATGTGGCCGCATCAACAAAAAGGATGGTCCGATGTATTAGCTCGAGACTCGATACCACCGTAAATAGGAGATAGCCACTGCCGCGCCGTCCCGAAAGTTGAACGATAAATTGCTCGCACGTTCGCAAAGTATAAACAACAACAAACGACCAGATCGACCGTACCTACGTGTGGGCATCAGTTGTATACGTGTGTTATGTCGAGTGAGCTTTTGTTTTCTCGCTTGATGCTATACGTATACACTGAAAGTCTGCACGTTGTAACGCGAACACAGCGACAAAGGAGCAAACTCTCTCTCTCTCTGTCTTGCGACGATGACTTTCCTTTTCTCTTTCTACGCGGCCAATAAAAGTTACCGTCACCCGTGAACGGAATTTCAAGTGGCAACACATCACTGAATACGTACCCACGCCATTACACAGTGCGAAAAGGGTCTTGAGATGAGGGAGATATGCGTTTCACAATTTATACCTTGGAAAAAAAAAAAGAGGGTAAATGACAATGTATGAATAACGATGCCCTCGTAATTTTGTATAATTTCGCAATTACCGTTGGAACGCATGATATCATGGTTACGTATATGGTGTTTATTTTATGGATAAGCAATAACATAACGTATGAGAAATAACAATGGTTTTCAGTGTTTTTATTGTGGTCAAGTTAAATTAAAAGTCGATTGGCTCGATATAGTCACGCAAACTCGTATAAATAATCTCGTTTTGAATCCAGAAAAGTTCATGTGAGCTGTAAAAGTCATTTTTTGGGATTTGATCGCAAAACAACAAAAAAATTCATTAATCAACAAACACCGAGAAAAGTGGGATAAATAGTGTATACACTGAAAAAAAAAAAAAAAACAATTTTCATTCTCAGTATTTCAACTGTATACTTTCGCGAACGACCACTGTTTTGGTGATGACGATCGCCGGTACCTTATCTGCTACGCGTTGTTTTTTAAGACCTGAAAACATAAACAGAAAACAATGTACGCGTAACTTGAAAATGAAAAACAAAACAAACTACGTCCGTCGGGGAAAATACTCGAGAGTATAGAGGTACGAACCCTTTCCTCCAGCTCGCTGGCGAGGCGAAAAGATCCCGCGCAGCTCTTTGACCGACTTGATCGGTGAGCTGACAAAGCCCAAGCTCCTCCTGTTCATGATCGCGGACTTGTTCACCTGAAGCTTGCAGACGGACGGCACAACCGGCATTTTGGACCCACGATACTTTCGGACGGTCACGAACCTTGCCCTCGTCGCGATCGGCGACATCGACGACGTAGAGGAACAAGAGGACGATTCGATCGCACTCGCGGATAGGCTGCGCCGGCGACGTCGACGTTGGCTGTTCCGGCGCTGACAAGGTGCTTCGAGCAAATCCGTGAAACAGGTGGAGGGAGAGAAAGACGCTGGGCAATCCGAAGTGGAAGCCGATCGCTTGTGCACCGCGTGGGTGTCGGCATTGTCACCGGTTGCGTGGCGGCAGGTAGCCTGGAGGTACACTTTTGGCTTGGCCGTCGTCGTCTTCCGATGGAGCTTTGGCGTCCCGACCAGCGGGTGGCGGCTCTCGGGGATCTTCGTGGCCAAGGAGCGCTTTATGGCGGCTACCTTGCCCTTGGGGACAACGGAAGTGTTGTTGTAGCCGCTACTGTTGCTGTGGCCGTAACTGCAGCTAACTCCGCTGCTGCTTGTCGCTAAGGGGCTGTGCTTCCACCTACGAAGGTCCAACGGTTGCGGTATAGGTTTTCTGGTGACGATAGATCGCAGCGGCCTCCTCACGGTGGGCGTGCCAGTGGGGACCTGTTGTCCCGGGGACCTCTCAAAGGCCCTCTTCAATTCGGAAACTCTGCCGGTGGTGCCGAGCAGACTGGGCGAGCGCATCCTGATGGGGATGAGACTCGGAAGGGGGGAGCGGTCGCGGCCACCCTGGAGCCGCTTGATCTTCTTCGTTGCCGATTTCTTGCCGCGCCTCGATGCATCGTCGATCGTCGAGGAGGAAACTACCTGGGAGGCGTCGTCGCAGATGGAAGCAGCTGGGCGTGGACTAACGTCGACGTTCGGAGTCGATTGGGGCTGGGAGTCCATCGTCAAGGAGTCAAAGTCCTTTGCTATTTTATCGAGCAGAGCCCCAGTGCACGAGTTTCGGCGCGGCGAGAACGTGAAGATGGCGGGCGTCGGTCCTCCGTTGGTGCCGGCACTGTCGGCTTTCGGTGCCGAGACACGGGGACTGCAGCTGCAAGGAAAAATCACATTAATCGTTTCTCAGAATTGAACAAAGCGTGTGAGCAGGTAAACTCACCTGGTTAGCGGTGGGACTCGATTGTTGGTCGTGGCCTCGGGCGAGCAGTCCAAGAAAACGTCGGAGTCGCCTTGCAGGGCGTCCAAATTGAGGTTCAAGATGTTTGAGTCCTCGGTGGGACTGAGGGAGACCGGTGTCGTGGCGCTGTTTCTCTCCTCGTTGATGGTGGTCAAGAAACCGGTCAATTGGCGGCTCTCCACCTCGGCATTTTGCAGCGGCTTGGTCGACAAATCCAAATTCATCCCGGCAAAGATGGTCGAGTGCAATCCGCTGCAGCTCCAAGACTCGTCTTCGGCGAAGCTCTCGGGTTTTTTGATGATACTTCCCGCGCAGATGGTGCTGTGCCTACTTTTCTGTACGCTCATCTTGATGACCGGCACCAGCTTGAGTATATTACTTATATCACTCTCTCGTACCTTTGCTTACAACTAAACTTTTACACCAAAACGATCGCGCGAACTTTGCGATGGATGTCCATCAGCTAAAGGTATACAAAGCTATAAACTAAAGTAACAAGTAGTAGGTATGTAGTATATTTGTATCATTAAGGCACTGAAACAGGCTATGTACTTGTATCGCTCGGTGCCCGCAAAGTTTACAAACAAACGTAAACGTAAAGACACACACTAGTAGAAATAAATGTTAAAGGTTGTCCTTAAAATAAGAGCACCTCGTAAGTAAAACTAAAATGTGTAAAATCATGCAATATGGAACGATTGCAACGTGGATTCCCTCGTCGTGGATTTTTTGGCAGAAGTGGAGCAAATGTATGTATAGCTGTGTACAGGATCAGGGAGGAAAAAGTATTATATCGTGTACAATGACCATGTACTCGAACACGCATCATCGTTGACAGAAACCACAAATGTCTGTAAGTTGGACCCCATATATATACGTGGCGACGATAGTCGAGTTGAGTTGAAAGGGGAGAGCTAACACAGCAGTGGCTTCGAGAGCTGCACAGGCTGGGGGGGGGGAGACAATGGTACAGCGTACTTATACACATCTGCAGAGCGTCGAAAGGGAAGCTGCGCCGGGAGGAGGGGGGGGGGTGCTGTACTGCGGCCCAGAGACGCGGGAGGGAGGGAGGAAGTTGGCAGCCGCAGCAACCGATAGTGCACGAGGGTGTACTATATAGAAGGTATATTGGCCCTGGAAGCTCGTCTGACTTTAGCGCCAAAGTCAATGTAAAATCTCTGCAGTGTAAGCGAAAGTTGGGCGTGAGTTAGTGCTGCATGGTGACATTACAGTGGAGTGCACGTATAGGTATATATATATGCCATAGTCGATCATCAAACGCTTTTCTTCTTCTTGTTTCAACTTTGACGGAATAACCCGAGACACGCATTTAATTTTGGTGCTATACAATTGTTCATTTTGTCCGTACCCATCGGCTACTATATTTTACGTTGCAAGTATATTTGCTTGTTTCAAATGTTTTCGGCACCATTTGTCATAAAAATCGGTTTTCTTTTTTTTTTTTTTTTTTTTCTCTACCAACGAAATGAAATGTAAATACGAGGCAAAGAGGATGTACGATTAAGGTTCTACAATCATATGGGGTGGGAAAAAAAAAAAAAAAAAAAAAAAAAATAATCTCAACGAGAGTCGAAAAAGAGAGAGAGACAGCCACGCACACCCGTATAGGCAAGACAATGCGCTCCAAAGTATACACGAACTCGGTCCCATTAATTTGCGATCCACGGGTGCACGTATGTACAGATATGCAGCGCGTATTTGCCTCCTGCCTAATTTCACCCTCTCTCTCTCTCGTCGTCACCTTCCAAAGTGTATACGTAGGTACCTCCTCCCCGAGCTAACTAAACTCTGCAGCTTTCGTCGGCTTCGCGTCTACCGGGTCTACTCGTCACGCCCCAATTATGGCTCGACGAGTCGTATACATGTATACCATGGCCAAACAGAACGCTGCTCTGATGCATCACATCCCCCCCCCCACACACACACACACCCACACATACATTTTTATTATTGCTTTTATTTTTCAATATACGCTAATCAGATTTACCAAAATACCCAACGACGCTCGCTCGAACGAGTGAAAAACAAAAAAATTAAACAAAATAAATAAAAAAGGATAAGTACACATGGGTATGACTATATATACAGGGTGCCATTATAAATACGTACGTATTTTATTATCATCTCGTCTTATCTGTCGTCGGGGGGTGGGGACTCGGTTTGTCCCTTATCTTCGCGTACCTATATAATATAGCTCGTCGTATGTCAAGATAAAGAGAACAGGGCGTTAATGAAGTCAATACCTATACCGCTGCGACGATGATTTCGACGATGCATTGTACTGCACTGTACATCTACGCATGCACGTAATTGTATTTTAGTATAATTATTCCCCGAAAGTTTGAAATCTACCTTCATCGCGAAAACACCGTGTAGCTGTTGTATACCCATGTGGGTTTGGCGGCATCCAAATAAAAAAGGCATCGTATAGGTGATGATGATGGGTAACTTGCAGTTGGATGCCCTTTTGCAGGGCCGTGACCCATCATCACTCTCGGCCCCCATGTAACATAATTATATGCAATACTGTGATTTTACCCCAATTTGCCGTGTATATTTGTACATTCGTAAATCTCGAAAGGAACGAAATAATAATAAAAAAAAAAAAAAAGGAAAAAAAAAAAACGAGATTTTACAGATTCGGGGTCGCTTATCTGCTGCAGCTGGGGTGGTTTGTTTGGATAAAAGATATACAATGGATGTATACGATGTGGTATATAGTTAGGGGTGCCCCAAGTGCACCAAAAAAAAAAAGGAAAAAAAAGGAAAAAAAAAAAAAAAAGGAGAGGAGCCCGATAGAGGACACAAGGAGTACAAAGCGGGTCAGCGGGTGAATCGCATAATGTCAGAGGAGAGTAGGAGGCAAGGTGGGAGTGGCCCCGGAGGCGCCGAAAACGAGACGAGAATATCAGGGGCAGCAACTCTCGGGGCACGTATACAGTACCTATCTCTCTCTCTCTCTCTCCGCCACTCGACACTCTCTCTCTCTCTCTCTCTTTTTTTTCTCGCTACACTACCATGTATGCATATACCTACATAATATACTGTATTGTCTACTCGTGCAATTTACTCTTGGCCACGCTATTGTCCTTGGGACAGAGGGGTAAGGGGTGGGTGGGACAAAAAAAATAAAATAAAAAGCTTGCAACGAGCCCTTTCTTCTTCTTCTGTCCACAAAATCCACTCCTGCCTTGGAAAGCCTTATCCCTAGAAATGCCGATCCTACCCTCCTCATGTCTTGCACACCACACACAATATGTACAATGTGCTCAACTTGCAAACCTCTTTTTTTTTTTTTTTTTTTTTTTTTTCCCACCCCCGACACCAACTGAGTTTTTGGGCGGATCCTCCCTCGCCCACCTCCACCCTCCTTTTTTTCGATGAGGCAGGTTTTTAATCGACTCACTCCGTAAACCTCGGCTGGCAGAGGCAAGAGCCGAGCCAGTTGCTGTCGGTGTCTATATTTTCATGCAGGTTGTGACTATTGAGCTGCTGGATGACAATTTATTGGAAAACCCCGGGGTTTTTCAACACACGTGTAACGCAGCTGTACTCTTGCGATTCGGAGCTTTGCGCATACGTATATTACACGAGATACGTCCATTAACCATACAGTTGTGCCTATATACATACACATTTCGTTGGTTATACAATGACAGATGGAAAGGTCCCTCTGTGTATTGGTATGACTAGCTAGCTCTCTCTCTCTCTCTCTCTCTCTAGGTAAATAACATTTTTTAGCTCTCAGCAGCAAGAACAAAAGAATAAAACGCTAGCTGGTTGAACGAAAAAAAAAAAAAAAAAAAAAAGCTCGCTAATGGCAAATATTCCGTCGATCCTCTGTCTCGTGCTTCGCAAAGGGCGTACCTTTTCCATCCTCTAGACTATTTTTTTCCCTCCACCTTATATACCCGTCCCTTGCCGACTCACCCTTCAGTTCAAGTTTACGCGAATTTTGCGAGTAGTTTTTTTTTTTCTTTTTTTTTTTTTTTACAGGGTTATATGTTTCTTTGTTGGCCCATTATTTCTCGGAAAAGGCTAGTCACACCTGAAATGTGGGACACGCGATGGGTATTTTTTATTCTTTGTCTTTAAAAACAAACTTTAATGAGTGACGAGCGTCTACAGCCATACGATTTGGTGTATAATACATGTTACCATAATTATCCGTCTGTGTCCGACTTTACCTTCCCGTATTCGGTACGGTACAGACGTATGCCTGTTTATACATGTGTATCGTGCGCGAAATCGTCCAAATCTTATTTCAAAGGAAAAAAAAAATAAATCTCTCAACTCGATCATGCGCGCGCGTGAAGAAACATATAATCCTGTAAAAAAAAAAATATTATACTCACCACTGTTCAATGGACACCACATTTCACCACATTTCGGTATAATTTACTTTATGAATTGGCGCGTTTTTGTTTTTCATCCTTGTGTGTATAGGTGTGCGATCATTATCGATACTCCTTCCCTGGTAATTACTCGTATCCATTTGTTGTTATCTGATCCACGACAGACTTTCACGAATCCTTTTTTTCCCCCGATTCATACGACCTTTGAGTTTGAATGTTATTTTTATAGCGAGGAGAAACGTGTAGAATTGTTACGATGAAGCAGCTTAAGTTTACAAACGCGATTGAATTTTTAAACATTTGAAAATCGAGTTGTATATACTTGGACGAGTAGGAAAAAAAAAAAGACAACAAAGTAGAAATGTGGGAGGGGGAAAGGGTTGCATTTTTATTAGAGAGATCGATGCACAGGGAGAGAGTTGAGGGGAGAACTAGTATTTTTTTTTTTTTTTTTTTCCATCACGAGATTCGGGTGAGAGTAGACAACGAGAGTGTGTGTGCAGCACTAGCCAACTTGCCCATCTTTTTTTCCACCTTCTGCTGTAAAGGGGAGGAAAGGTACGGATACAGATACTAAAAGATACTCGACAAGGTAGATGAGCGTGTGTAAGTTAATCTCTCACGAGTATTACGATATCTCTAGGGTGCGCTTTTTTGCGAAAGCATGTTTTTGTTTATTTTGGGAAGGGTTTCGTCATCAACTTCAAATAAAGACTTTTCCTTCATAAATCGGTTTCGTAACAGTATACTAATAACAATACAGCATTTCTGCGCGTTGCTTCGTACTGGAGAATTATATTATTACTCGAAATACTTACTTGCTCATCTTGTTGATGTACTTCCGACGAAAATTAACTTGTTTGCAGAAAAAAAAAGTTACGAAAATTATGAAGAAAACATGACCATACAATCGGCTACTTTCATGACATTGCTTGAAATTTTACATTCGGTAAAATTAAGTTATTTCTTTTTCAATTACTAATATATTTATGATATTTGAAAAAAAAAAAAAAAAAAGAACGATATTTTTCACATCATGTTATGACGGGCAAGGATGCGGGAAATCTTAAATAAAAGGGCTGGAAATGAATAAAAACTCGTAAATTAAGAAAGGT